GAAGAAGTGGATTGTGTGCTGCTCCAGGTTAACGATGACAAGACTCATGATGCCTTATATATCTCTCAAACGTGCGCATCTCCTATCTCTGCTCTGCTGCTCCGTGGCTAGTATCTTCCACCAATATCCACAACTTGGACCAAAAGTTTGTCAATGACACATCGAATGCAACCATGTGAAGATGTTCTCAAACATCTATCAGCATTATGGCTAGTGGGCTTGTAAGCGCGCAGTGTAGTCCCTGTGGAATTGAGTTTCCAGGCGTTACCAGAGTTGCAAAGGATCGGAGCGAAGACCCTGGTTTCGAGGACGGTACCTGGCAGATGATCGCCAGAGACTCCACGTGTTTCATGAAGCGAAGCAAGCAGAGCGAATCATGGGGAAGACCGTGCATTGACAATGTTTGGGACTGAGACTGGGCTCCCGAGCGATCTGTAGATAAATTGCAGGGCTACAGTGGAGCCTGATTAAACTTCTCAGGAACTGAAGTTTGTCTCTGCCTTATCAACAACCGCATGAGCTTGAAATGGTCCAACTCTTACTCAGTCACGGAGTATATGCTTCCCAGCTATTGTCTCAGATGAAAGCTATCGCGAGTTCTCTGGGCTTTTCCTAAGGGATTCTTTTGCTCGATATTACCAATCTAATTGTCGGCCGAGCGCCTTCTTCATCTCTATTTCTCCTATGGCTCAATGGCGATTGTCTTCCTACAAAGTTCCCTGGGGGGAGAAAACCATTACTGGTAGAGTTCCGTAGCGATCAACTCAATGCTTCACCATGTTTCAAAGCACCTCAGAGATTTCCTACTAGACTCAAGCTGCGATATGCTATACCCTAACTAGTAAAGGGGTCAGAAAAAGTATGCTGGAGGGTACAAAAATAGCAACCGTAGGGTTGCATCTGGTGTGGAGCCCTAAGCAAAATTGGCTTTCAATTGGGGTAGAGTTGCGATCATGAACCCAATCACACCAAGTTTCCCTACTGATGGCTTATTTAGCTCCCAGATCATGACCCGGTAGTCCCCGGGGCAGTCGTTCTCAAACCCCCATGCGTATCAAGGCTGAGGTTCGTGGGGAGTTTGGTCGATCATTGCCCCGTACATGTGACTGCCAAGTTGGGCTCGGTTAGGTCGGTTTGTCGGGATATGCGGAGATCTTGAAACAAATGAACCCTTTTTTGTAACTTTTGGAAACAGCCATAGGGGGTGGCTTTCAGCTAGCTGGACTGCCGTCTAGACTCGATGGCTTTGGACCTTGCCACTATTTTCAGGGTTCGGGCTTCCTCAAACGGCAACGTTCCTGGCCCGAGGGGCCGAGCCGATTGACCCGGACGACGCTGAAGTTCATGACCCTTAAACCACATCTTGGTTGAACTTTGGTCTGCGGTACTATATTACACAAAGCATAACCCCAGGGTATAGATAACCTCAGGTACTTTGATCTGACGGCGTAGAACAAATGGCTGCCTCTACACATGAGGCCCTGAGCGACTAAGACCTCTCACTAAAAATAGTTACAATGAAGACTTCATGAGTGACGCTCATCCAAAACTCAGCTTTTACATTTTTGTCGCTCTATGTACTAGTTTCCCATATATTCGCCTTGTTGTGCTCGAAAAATACAATTGCAGAAATATATTTCTAGCAGAAGTAGTGATATCGGAGGATTAAAACCACCCGATAAACTCAAAAGTAGGAAAGTTAAATTTTCTTGTTTGGCATCAATTTTGGACTTTCTACCCTGCCCCACATCACTAGTGCCACCATTATCCAAAGGAGAAACCTCTTACATCTTTACCCAGGAGAAATGTCCGTCCGAGGGGCATTAGAGATATAAATAGACTGCTAGAAGCCTTCAAGGTCGATGTTTCTTAGCAACTCGATGCCCTTCCCTTTATCGCTAATTCTGGTGCATTGGATACCACTACAATGTTTCTATGCTTAAACTACCGATGACTATGTTCGATCGATTAGGGGTATGTTGACTTACGCATAGCACTAGGTTGCAGTCCGTAAGATCGAACAAAAGTGGAGGGACAGCCCACGGTCCATACCGACACCGTTGAGAGCGACATTTCTGACAACTCATGATGCTTTCTGGATTTTCCCTCACAGAATGAATGGCCTGGTGGCTGAAAGCTTGTCGCCAGGGCAATATTCGAATGTCTGAAACATCTGCGTCTTAGGCTCGTAAACATACTGCCGTCCCAACTGGCTCTAATCGTAGGTAATTATATCTACTGAAAGTTCACTCACCGTCCAACTCTTTCGTAAATACAAAGCTACCGACATAACCTTGCGAGATACAGTGCCCTATGTTTCGTAGATTATTCCCATGGGTATACAGCGTATGTTATGTTGAATGTGTTGCTCCATGTCGCCATGCCATTTCTCCTCTGGACATGAGAGTAACCATTACTAGGGATTCAGCAACCCTGTAGTTGTGTAGAAGCCACCCGCCCTATAACCATAGCTGCTACGATTATGCATGATATTTATGAAACACAGAGCTTATTCTGAATATTGCTCGACGGAAGGGTCTATCCCAAAGTAGTTTTCATCTCGTCATCCCAATGTCAAGTCATACATGAAATCATATCGCAGTCGCATCTTACACATTCACAGCCATCTCAAAGGAAATAATAGACCAAGCTAGCGCCACCCGAGCGAAGGATGTGTATACGGCAAAGGCATCTCAGCAAGAATAGCTCTCCGTAACAAATCCGTGGCATGCTCCAAGTCCGGCTCTACACCATTGGGGAGATAGAAGACGAAAACAGAGTAGATCCTCATATAATCGCAACGGCATATCCTCGTGAGCTTTACATGTCCGTGCTCGACCATAGTCTGACAGCTCTGCAGGAACATTCGTCGATTGCCGAAGCCAGAGTCGACCTCGACCTCTGCGAACCACATAACGAAGTCTGGGCGGTAGACCGATCGGCTCATGATTGGGTTTGGTGGCATCTGCTTGGTGGTTTGGTGTGGGTTGGTTTGCAGAGGTCACTTTGATGGGCATTTAGAGTATTATGGGAGAGCAGAGATGGGATGTTGGAGCTGAGGGGCATTTGATGTGATTCAGGTAGCTATAAAGCACACCTGCCTCTTGTTTGCTGTATCCATTGTGAAAGAGCAAAGGTAAAGCTGCCAGCTGTGAAAGTCAGAGCTCTTTCTTTGGAATACGCATGTTCTGAGAAGCAATGACAAATTCATAGCCTCGGACTCCTGAGAGTACCGAAGTGCTCGATTGTATATTTTGTTGTTGTTTGCTGGAAGAAAGTACAATGCATTTGTTGTTTGTTACAGGGAGAAAGCCTGAAAGGAGTAATAGGAAAATTCATAATGCTTCGCAAACTCCAAGCAAACGTGCTCTTTGTGCAGTTGACCGATTCTTAAGGGAAAATAGAAGCACTGAACCTTTTAGAAGGAGCTAGCCAACGACCTGCGGTAAGTTCCATATCCGAAACACACAGTATGGCCAGTTCCTGTAGTAGAGTCACGTAACGAGTAGATGATACAGTACAAAGGAAATAACCGGCTTACTCGGAAGATGGCCCAGATAATTTGAGTTGAAAGCCGATGATACCAGGATAGTGTCATATATTTCCACAGTGGCTCTTTCAAGAGGCAAATACTTTCGGACATAAATATGGCTGAGCCTGCTTGAATTCTGACATCATGCAAGCCAACATAAGGCCAAGACACCTGAATCAACCTGTAGATTCAAATGGCAAATAGCGCCCAAGGAGACAGAAGCTGGGATCATCAAGTCGAACCTGTGGTGTGGTGGTATGTTGAGGTTCAGATTGAATGTGATCCGGCTGTGGAGGATCACAATCGGTGGGGCGCCCATGAAGAGGCTTTGAAAGATGGCAAAGCCATAATGACTACAGTGGATAGAAGTGAAGAAGAGGATACATTATCGATCGCATATTGTATAGGACTCCCTGGAGACTTTCGTGAAGGGGAGCCTGCACCCCCAGATGCTGTGAAATGCCTGCAAGATGAGGTTCACGAGAGAAGAAAGAATGCCATCCCTTTGCCACACACCCAGGGCGCTCTTAGTCTACGATAATCGTTAGTTGGGGAGCCGAAGTCATAGAAAAGCCTTATGTTGTGGCTATGCAATGCTCCCGGGTCTATCTATCCGCTGATGCGATGCTGATGCGTTCGTTGTTGGAGTTTTGTTGAACAAAAGGGTATTATATCAGATGGATCAATTTCATATTCTATGCAATCATTAAGCAGGATGTCGAGAATACAATTGCAGTTATGGTTGGAACTACACACTCCTCTTAGCACCCATCTCTGTAAACGTGAAAGCAATCTGCGGCCGTTGTATGCTATTGAAGATTGCTCCAATTGTAACGTAGTACACTGTTCACATAGGACGGTTTTATCATGACATTTTCAAAAGGTATGCAGACAAGGGCAATAGGTACTATGAGCCAGGTCAACACCATATTTACCCAGGCAAGATAGAAGAGGCTATGCGGGTACGGAGTATGGTACCAACCCATTTCGACGACGTCTTGAAAAGCGAATTGCAGCCACAGAAGCCAGGCGAACATGATAGACAAGAATAATGACAGTACCAGTCTATCTCAGAATGTTCAACATAAGACAATAAGAAGTTTCTCCCTATGGTCCATCTGCAGCTCCGCTTGACCAGTTCAAACCAATCTACAAATCACTCAGCCAATCAACAGGATACCTCACATAGTCCGGTGGGGATTATCAAAACCACCAATCAATACAAGGAGTGTAAAGAGGTCTGCGGGGTTCGTATTCCTACACGCTAACGGACATCCGCTTGCCTTGGCTACAAGACTCTCAGCGGATTACCGATCACTCGATCTTATCTACCCCACCTTGACCCATGGAACATTGCAAGGTTACGAGCTCAGTGCTCCTGAGAGTACTCAGAGGAGTTGCAGCGGCCACATTGTTAGACGAGAGCAGTTATGAGAGGCTCGCTGAGTGTTTTGCCCGTAGTGGCCCAATGGCAGAAGGTGTCAACACTCTCCCCGAGAATGATACTGAGCGGGCTCTTCCCCTCAGTGATTGGCTTGCTATAATATCGGATATTTCTTGTGGTGCCAAGGACCGTCTCCTAATCAAACACCTAGCAGACCTTGTGCTCGCAATCGCTCTTCTTCGCGAAAGCGGCCGGAAGACAGGAGATCCTAGCCATGCAACCATCTCGGACGCGGATTTGGCCACCGTGTGGAACATGATACGAGACACGCTTCTTAGTGATCTCTTTCGAGATTCCAATGTCCGAGCATCTCGCAGTGCACAAGGGTTCCTGTCCGTTCCACTTTGCAGCATAGTGCAGAACGGGAACATCGAGGAACTTTTTCGGCTTCATGTGTGGCTACCCGATGAACAGCGAGGAGTTCCGGAGTTTGCGGTCCATTCCCATCAGCCATTCGCACAGAGTTGGATTCTCGCTGGCACCGGAGTGGACCATTCATTCGATGTTCAGCCGACAGAAGATCGAACGGCAGCCACCCATGCGGAATATAAGCTCGTCTGGCAAGATGCAAAAAGTACAGACGAGTCCTATAAGACACATCAGATATCATCTACTGTCAAGAACACCGGAAACCTGGTGCGAGTGACGGCCAAGGGCACAGCGCTGCACACGCGCAACATGAGCTACTCGATTCCGGCGACTGCATTCCATCGCACAGAGGTTTCGCCCGATACCTTGCACGCAACACTGTTCTTCTTCGACGCGTCGCGCGGCTTTGTGAAAGAAGCGCCAGTGTTGGGTCCCAAGGACCTTCACTCGTCCACTCAGCTGCGTGATCCTGGTGGCATCTCACCAGCAGCGCTAGCGACCATAGTAGACGCAGTTCGATCATGGGAAATATTGATGGAGCAGGGAGAACAGCATGCCCAGCGCGCTGAGTGGGAGCATGCATTGCGGTCTTTCAGCCATGCTCTCAGTCTCTGTGGACCGGGAGGGTCTTTGCCAGAGTCAGCAAACTACAAGAATGTCGCACTGGGGAAGCTGGGTTATACTAATAGGCGATTTGGAAGATACGAAACGGCAGAGGGATATCTAAAGAGTGCCTTGGATGGGCTTGGTTCCACACCATTGCATGTCGAGCTTCTTGGTGAACTGGGGGTAGTTTACCGCCATATGAATCGCCTCGAAGATGCGAAGCGAGAGTTCGAGATTCAGTATAAAATAGCCGGGGAGCTAAAGCTAGAACATGCCATGTGCCGCTCCATCGGGAATTTGGCCATGACAAACTATCAGCTTTCGAAGGATCTGCTGCCTCTAGCAATTGAGCAGCTAAAAGAGCGCATCCATCTAGCTCGATCTATTAAAGCATCCGTCGGATCGGGAGAGCAAAGCCAGGCCATCATCTGGGAGACTATTGGGCTGTCTCGACTGTCGCTCTGCTACACTGCCTGTGGTCTTGCGAAAGAAGCGATTACCGCGGCTTCGGAATCGGTGGAAGCTGCCCTCAGTACCAAAGACCCTACTGTAGTTGCAATGTCCAGGTTTTTCTATGGGCGCGCGTTGTATCTGAGTGGGCAGTTGGAGCAAGCTTTACAGCAGTTCAATCCAGTTGGGACCTGTACTCCAGCTATGGCACTGTGCAAAGAGCCTTCAGAGGAGCATTTAGGATATTTACGAGAGCTGGTAGAAGCTGGAGTCGACTTGGACCTCGTTGATCAACATGGCTATAGTGCATTGGATTACGCTGTATTTTGCGGCGACAAGCAGACTGAAAACGTTGTTCTTGACGGACTTCGCCGACAGTTTGGAGAGAACGCAAATGACAAGCTCCTACAGCGACAAAGAGAGGCTCAAGTGCGAAAATGCTATCGGGAATTGTTCCAGGAGAGTCTGCGACCCATCCTTCTTGAAAGCAGGAATGATGTAAACCACCTCCAGCATCTACGACGCGTGTATGCCACGTCGCTTGCGGCAGACGAAGAGAAAACCAGTGTATTCGACGGGCTCAAATTTGTGTGGTATCAGGACTTTGTGCGTAATGGGCGACTTCCACGATCGAACCACGGCCTGACGCAGCGTTATCACGATATAAAGCCCGAGCTTGCGCCAGATTATATCGTGTTTATATCATATCGATGGATCAACGGTGATCCAGCGTATGTAGCATCACCGGACGACGCCAATCACACCCAATATCACCGAATGATCCGAGCAATCGAGGCATTCATAGACATTCACGCCTCTATCAACCGAGAGCGGCTGGGAATTTGGCTGGTAAGCCCCGTAATCAATTCTCTCAAAGTGGTGATATGTACTAATCTTAATGCAGGATTGGGCCTGCATCGATCAGGATGACCCCTTGCCTGGGATTGCTGCACTCCCTCTCAACCTTGCACAATGTGATACGGTAATTAGCCTACTTGACGATAGCTACCACAGTCGTTCTTGGTGCTCTGTCGAAGTTATGATTATACAGATACTACGACGGTCATATCAGTTGCATTCATGGTATGAGCATAAAAGAATAGAAAACACGGAGCATTGGGCAATACAGGAGGGACCGTTAGAATTTGAGGCGTCCGTTGCGGGTAAATCATTGAGCTCTGAAGATGATAGGCCCAGGATACTGTTTTTAGAGAGACAAGCGAGATTGCTCGGTCGGGCCTAAAACACGATTGGACCTTTTCTCATTGCTATGCTGATAAGCGAAGTCCTGTGCATTTACAACATACAGAGTGTTTACCGCACCTCTACGACCCAGTGTTATTCACTACAAAGCACAGCTTATATGAATATATTGAGGCCAGATGACGTATTCTAATCAACATTGGTAGAATGACTGACATATAATAAGTCAAATGTTACACTTTATGCGAAACAGGCTGTTGGGATGGCAAGAAATTTTTCCAAGCCCGATATGCGCCATGCCATATGTAGAACACACACAAGGCGTAGACCAGGCTGTATCACGTATAGGCGTAGCAATACTCATAGTCGATCGGATCCATCACTTCCCTGACCTTTCTTGGGCTATCCAGCACCCCAAACTCCATCACCGTATCGAGAGTCACGAACGGAGCATCCGGGGGGTTGTAGATGATCGTCGTGCCATTCAAGGCATTTCGACGATTTGGGGGATCATGTCGTTGCCATATACTCCAGATCCGATCTATCATAGCATGATGCAGCATGAACACTGGATCCTGGGGTGATATAAATAAGTTCTGCATATCACCTCCGATAGAGTGGTGACCTCCCCCATGCGCACCCATATCATCAAAACCACTAGGTTCCATAATCCTCAGAAATTCCGTTATATTGGCGGCCCCCAGCAATCGATCCCCAATGGTGTCATTGTTGAACACGGCCATGATAAATGGGTTTAAACTCCGTGTTAGACAGTGTGGCTTATAGTCAAAGGCATTGGGGGGAGGTGACGCATACGGCCGTGCCAAATTTGAGTCGATCGGCGCCAGGTGCACCTGGAAGTTGGCGAATGGGCCCGATCTTACACAGCCATTCCCTGTGCCTCGCGGCAGACATTCAGTGCCATCGGAAGTGCATGAGAGTGTTTCGTTTGCTTCAAACGCCCCATTTCCGGAGAGTGATACCGCGTTGCCGTTCAGCATGGGACTGTCAAACAAAGTATATGCGTCCAGGGCCCAGTTCCAATACCTACACAGTTTAGTGGAATTCACAGTCAGGGCTTTGGCCAGATAACTCACGGTAGGCTGCCTTTGTATCCGCATTCCTCACGTAGAGTTGCTTCCCAGAGGAAGATAAAATGGCGATGCCAAGGGAGCAGAAGTCCGTTTTGATGAATCCGGGTTGTGTAATTGATATGAGTGCTGCGGGCATCAGCTATAGTAATTAAGGGGTCATTAGATATCTACTTACGCAACAAAATCGTCTAATCGATCTCGGACCCCAGGGAACTTTTCATTCGGTAGGGCAGATGAACGTTCACGCAGGCAATATATCGCATTGATATAGTCTGTCCGTTCAGCAACGGCTAGTTCTCTCCTAACACATATTGGATATGGGAATATCTGGATGGCAATGGTGGGACATACCATTCTTTCCTTATAACCAGCTTATCTGGACTGCATAGTTCTGCGGTTGTTGAGGTAAAGCAGGCGATGGCCAGAATAATGAGAAAGCTGACGAACGGCATAACTCTAGCTCCACAGGTACTGTCGGTTGAGAATGAAGTATTAGAATTACTGAGGTGAGATAATTAATGTATGTTCGAACTGGAGGCCAGGGATCAGTCTTTCTATCTTAAATGCTATATGTATGTATGTCTGAAATGAGCTTTGGTTTGAGTTTATATGGCGCATTGAAGCGGGACGTATTTGTGTCACAGTACAATGCCACTCCTATGACCCATGGATTACAGGCGATATATATATCTTGAGACGGTTCTAGACTGCTTCTGAGTAATTATTCTTTACAGGATATCTCAGTCAACGTGGTCATTTCTGGACGCATTGAGCCCTTGAACCTTGTGGTCCCAGTAAGCTGACCAGTGGCTCATACCCAGAGCCGGTGTATATGAGGATATCCCGCTTTGAAAATTCATCCAATGGAAACAACAGCAAGTGCCGAGCAACGGGTTGGCTGCAGGATCCAAGCGGCTTGATTTAGGTCATGACTGGACTCCCCTTCCCAGGGCTCGGACGTATCTGGAATTGCAGGAGTATAGTAATTCAGGTTGTGCGACAAGATAATCTCCGAGACTGAGCATTAATATTGACTCCGCTGCCTTTTATGTAGGGAAATGAGGCGTACTGGTTGCTTCGGAACCTAGTTTTACCTTGGAATAGGGAGTTTGTCGAGTCTAATATGTAGCATTCGCGTATGTTTACCTTTCCTGGGTATATACGAGGCGCCAAAGGCACACATGGCCCTTGCTTACGCTGTTACAAGGTTCATGGGGGAGGCTCAGCAGATGACCTCGTGGCGTTCCGAGTGTATTGTCAGGGTTGACTTTGCGATATTCTCTCTGTTACTCATATCCGTAGATATTGAAGTAGGCCCATGCTTTTCTTTCTACACTTATCACAGCACAACACGACTTACTTGTTATTCGGGTAGTATTTTATGTACCTCAAGTTGGCCTTTGAGTGGAATTGTTCGCGATATTATTTTCTAAAAAATCTTTTTATGCAAGGGGAAGCCAGGTTAGCAACTTGGAACAGAATAGCAAATACAACTGGCTTAACGCGGGGACAAAGCGTGAGAAAGAGGAACACAGTTCATTGGCTTATCATAATAATTTATATTTTAGGGACAGTCAGCTACCAGTCATATAACAGATACTGTCTTTATTCGGACTGGTTGAACCCGTGTCCGTCCACCTGTAAATTGGATATCACGGATCAGGTATTCCATATTGTTACACTACTGATAAACCCTTGCCTGTGAATCTCGTGTTTGATTCAGTATTACGTGGTATTTCTTGGCCGGTCCAAAATGCAATGGTATGATCCACTGATGGAACGCTGTTCTATTCCAGGGAAGCCTGATATTCCGAATCTCCCGGATCCCATGAGCTGAGTCCCTCGGGAGATACGCTTAGTCGACGTTAGACAGTCACTATTGGATAGCGGGGTAGTAAGAAACAGACACTATAGCTGCCAATACCCGTTTGTGGTTGACCCTGGTGTTTTATGCAAGGGGGTATAAATATAGATCCAAGCTATACCTGTTTCCGCATGTCACCAAGTTGATCATCACCTAACACGTTGTCCAAGGTTTTGTGGTGGGTTAGCTATCTCATTAGAGACAACTTGTTACAATAAGTAGATTCATAAAATTGACACGTGTGTGGTCAAAGAGAACAACTTGCGGTCTAAATGCTGATTGCGATAGACGTTTATCAGAGACACAAGGTAATCCAAGACCCGCAGGAAGACAAATATATGACCTTGTGGCTCAGCCATAGAAAGGAACATGTAGAGCAATAGTGTCTCTCTATGAGGAAGGCAGCTATAAATCACGCATATGCATGCATTCCTTTTCTACCCAGGTGGCGCTTCAACCTCCCCGATCAACCAATACCATGTGAAAATTATAAAATTGTAAATAAAATATATAGTATTCCGTTCTATGTAAGCTACTTTCCACGATCTATTTCTTACTCAACTAGTGAGTATTATCCTCGTTCTTTTCAAAATGCTCCCTGGCCCACAGAATCCTCAATCGTATAGTCCGCCCCATGTAGAAGAAAATGAAAGGAATAGGTACTAGCAAAGTAGCCAAAAAGCCCAGCAAGCTAGACGCCCACTCATAGCCCAAGCTCTCATACATCTGCGTCGCGAACAAAGGAAACCCAGCGCCAACCCAATTCCTCACAAGGATCACGCCAGCCAGAGCCGACGCGGAATAGGTCTGATAGCTGTCCACAACATAGTTGAGGATACTCAATATGACGGATGTAGATACGAGCCCCAAACAAGGCCGATGCAATAATGGGCACGATCCAGTGGACGGATCGGCAGCTTGTCCAGCCAAACCAGAAAAGGCTGATCGGAATGAGGATCGCACTCAGTCGGGCCATCCACATGCGTTCTTCCGGGACACCCTTGCCGTCGTGCTCTTTGATTCGACGCAGGCAGTATCGTTCTTGCAGGGGATGCCATAATCGGGCCGATGGCCATGCCGAGGATGGTAAGACCTTGCTGGCCGACGTTAAAGCCGTGGCCCTTCCCGGGACCGAAAACAAGTGGGAAGGCCTCCGGTGAAAAGGTAGACCAGACCGTAGAGGAAGCCATTACATATCGCAGAAAATGTTGTAATGGGTTCGGTGAATAAGAAACGAAATGGACGAGTGAGGGTAATCTTAAACAGCTCGTCTAGCCCCTTTCGCCCGCTTACACTGGCATCAGTGACTGTTTCAGCGAATGTCAAGTTCTCTTTTCGCATCAATTTCTGTACTCTCTTGGCTTTCTGTTGCAGAATGATTGTGTGTCGCGTTTCGTGTACTGTGAGAACAAGTAGAATCCACCACCCGCCAGTAATGGCCATCATGATCCAGAAGATCCACCGCCAACCGAGGTCGAGGGCCATATACCCGCTGACTACGAGTGCCATCGGTGGTCCGAAGGTGCTGGTCAGGCCGTAAATAGCGATTGGTCCACCACTTGTGTTCCTCTCCCATAGATCACTGATTGATCCGCCAGTGTTGGTCGGCGGCGCACCGCCCTCTCACTAAGAAGAATAGGATCGTTTCTCAGCGTTGGCTTTTTCAGGTGACTTTTCCGAAGGATTTCCCTTATACTGACTGGCTGGCTGTTTTGTATGTCACGTCTAAACCATCAAAAAGGATCCACTCATGAATCAGTCTCAGACTTGATCGAACCAAGACCAGATGAAGAGGTAGAATAGATATTGATGGTAAGGGGGTGTATAATAATACGGCTATTTTCAACCCGGCCGCACCCACGGTTAGTGTTTCGCGGCCAGTAGTAATCTACTTTATAAGAAGACATGGCATCACTCGAGTTGTTCAACGTTGGGGCGAGGATAGCTGGTAAAGGCGTCCAGATCGATGAGGGTTATAACAAGCTTAAATTTGTCTATATCACCTGAATTCGAAACGTAACCAGATACAGCGATAATCAGAGCAAAGTACTCTCCGTCCATATTGGCTCCATAGCGGCTGTTGACCAATTCCATCCAGCAGTCTTGTCGGTTAATTTTAGTAAACATTTCCATACCCGGGGCAAAGATGGACCACCAATACACAAAGGCAATCCCCCTCTTCAGGGTCAGGTCCTTCATGGCCTCAATAGGTGGGGAAGAACCTGAGGCACCAAGGAACCACACCAAGTGATCCGCTGTCGTTGACGTCATTGCCGGCCGATCCCGTCGCAGCCCTGGAAACAAGTTTAACATCAGCCATCTCATCATCTGCAGATCAACCCGCAGACAAATATCAGATCGACATATGATGAAATAGAATAGGATCATAAGGCGTAGGATATCGTCCTACTTCGCCTTCCCGCTAAACAGTTCCTTTCTTTTTATGCCAAGCCACCCCCCAATCTTCTATATCCGATAGACTACGCTTCTGAATATCATCCTATTTCACTCCGTTTACTTTCTTTTCTTTTTCCGGTATAGATATATTCATTACCTTTCTGTGCTACCTGGTTTGGGCAAACCTTTAGTATGGCCGTGATTTGGGGTCTGGATCTCCACGAGATCCAATTCTACAAGTTCAAGGGGAGTCATATGTTCAGCCGTGTCTATCACCTACGACGCACAAGGATGATTGTCTACCAACTGGCCATGATCCTCTGTGTATGCTCTGAGTCGGTGGGGACAGCAGCCTTATCAGGTACATATCTCTCGGAAGAACCTCCCGCAGCTAGGTTTATCATACTAATCTCATCTATCATTTATCCATAGACTACCTCGACCAACAAAGCTACATCCAGGGGCAGCACCCTGGGGTCAAAGTCCACAATAACAGCTTCATCGGTGCAGCATCGTACAATATATTCGTGGGGATCTCCGTGGCCACGATCTTCGGCGCGGCGTTCTTTTTCGACCTCTTCTGGCCCGACAGATACGAGAGTCCATCCGTCCGATTAGCGTGGAAAATATGCGCGGTGGTCGTGTCGATAATGATGCTGAGTTCTGCTCTTCTCATGACGGTAAGCTCCGAGGACAGTACTCGCTGGTCACGATTCAGGATACTCATATATAATGGTCAGGTCGTCACTGCCATGTACAGTGCGCGTATTACTGGCACAGACGCCACCTCCGCGAAAAAGTTCTGGTCGGAGGCCGAGAAGAAACCCGCTCTGGGTATGTTTCCTGTTCAATTCAGGATGTTTGTATTTTCTGACTCTGGTGCGGCTAACAACCATTTTAGCATACAGAACCAATCCCAAGGCAGTTGCCTCGGCTGTTCTCGCGTGGCCCGGCTGGGTCGCGACTACTGCTAGGTATGTCCGTCCAAATAGATGCGGTCTACAAGTGCATCTATACTAACCATGATCATAGTACCGTTGTCCTTTTCATGTCCAAAAAGCATGATGATCAGTACGGTGCCAAATCTAAATATGGTCGAAGCCTGGAGAATGGGGGGAATACCCCGGAACTGGAAGTCAAGCCGATTACAATGTAATGATCGCTTTATGTAGAATATATCTTAGATTGAATGTATATAGATTGTATATATACTCCTAATAAATGCGGTGTACGAACAGATCCATTCTTTGGTCCAATTGAAAAGCTCGCCAAGCAAACTGAAGTATGCTTACTTGGCTCGAATCATAAATCGATCTTAGTGAGAGGGAAGTAAGGGAAAACAGGCCCTGGGCCTGGTTTATCCATCGGCCTTCCTCACGATGCAACTCCGCACACTGTAAAGCCTTGCTAGGCCTGAAGAAGATTTATAATATAGAGAGCCTCAAAGTTTCCAACGCCATGGCGCCAAACCAAAGTATCACGCCCCACACTACAGCGGAACGTCTCTTGTACTAGGAATAACTTCAATCTAACCTAAAGTACGTGGTATCCACAGTGAGGCCAAGGCCGCGAAGGATGGCCATACTACCACGTGCATACCTACGTGGCGTCACCGTGTACTCAGTATCTACATGTACAGCACATTTGTCAAGTTTCAAGCGAGGTTATGATTCGAACATATAGTATCTGTAGCAATGAGAAGTCTGATACCCATTAATTTTCCTCCTGTGTGTATTCAACAGAAACTCCCTTGACGCTTTGCAGATATGCAACAGTCTTCTGATCAAGAAAGCTAATATATCAGTTAGTTGTTTTCTTTTCTCTGTCCTCGTTTCCGTGGAGAGCAGTACTTACTCTACACGCTTGAAAGCAGGAGTAGCATCCAATGATTCAGGGCAAAATTCCTCCTCGTATCCAGCTTCATGTAGGATGCTGTAGTTATTAGCATGGGTTCAGTATTGTTCTTATGAGTCATGATAAAGAAACGTCTCGACTGTTTCATTATGTTCGTACACTACCCCGAGGTCTACAAACTTGACGACGAAATATCAACGTTGTATGTATTAGCCGTGAATCCTCAGCCCATCGAGGATGAGTGTTCTCCTTGCCACATACCGGCATATTGATTTGATGTTTAGATTCTGTAGGGGATGGTTGATAGATGTTCAATATCACAGCAGGCAGAGGATACAAGGTCCTATTTATAATTGAGTACGACGGGGTACATTGCTCATAATATCAGATCAGACACCCAGTTTTTGCAGCTACGATGGTGGGGTGTCAAAGGATAGCGCCGATTCCAATAGAAACTGGTGCTAATGCCCATCGCCTTGGATAACGATATGATTTTAAATGATTTCCTTCGCATTTCCGCATTATCACTGCACATCCGATAAAGTGTGCCACAAAGTCGATGCAAGCGATACAACGATCGAAGATTGATAAGATAAGAACATTCGAATACATAAATAATAGCAGCCATCGATCTTTGCAAAATGGAAGCCCGAAGAATATTGCCTTGGTCACTTTGTTATTTCGCTTTTCCCCAGTACCTTTGACTATCCTCCGCCACCTTGGCTTCCCACCCACTCACAGGCCCAATAACTTCCACTTCCGTCTGGCCACTGGCAAATATGGTTCGACATGGCAAATCCAGGGTGAGGTTCTCAGCGTTCCCTTCTCCGGTGAGCTGTCGGAGTGTTTTCTCCGACGCCAGGTACACCAGCCGTCCAATGTTCGCCCAGTAAATCGTGCCGGCGCACATGGCGCAAGGCTCCCAGGTGGAGACGAGAGTTGTTTTGGCGAGATAGTCGCGCGCATAATTATCGGCCGCGTTGCGGGCGAGTTCAGTCTCGGCGTGCCTGACGTGCGATAGCGACAGGGAGGACATCAGAACGGTGGTGTTGTCCGGTGCCAGAAGCAACGCGACAAACGGCCGTTTCGAGTGGATGTCTTGGGCGGTTCTCTGCAGCTCCAGACATGCGCTGGCGGCTGCGGATAGTTGTTCGTCGGTCAGGGGAGACATTTGGTGATGAGAAGTTGTCGGTCCTTGGTTGAAACTTGAGGTGTCGATTATCGGCCTTTTAGAGATTTATGACAACAACCTGGTTGAGTCAGGGTAAAAAAGGCATTTATAACGGCGACTTCCGAGATCTTCTCCGCACGAGGCGTCGGGATTGCCCGTATAGATATCGACTGGCCCAATAATGATATTTGGATGCTGTTATCAGTTCTCCACGTTCTGCTATAATAGAGCGTATTATCCGTTTCTTATCAACTATGAAGCCTTGGCCAGTTTCTTGGCCATCACTGTATCTGCAACGCGGCTTCCAGTGACTTAGAAGACAATCTGGGCTCTAAGGATTTAGGAGAAATCATCTTTATGCCACACCGTCGTTGTTTGGCTTCAAAGACAGTCATAGATCCGTCTAATATCTTCAAGGGCTCCATAGGCCATCGGCGCTGGAATACGAATACTACCTGCACTAATTCTACATCTACGGGATTTATTTTCACTTCAATATACTACTTCGCAGATGTTGCATGGAAATCAAAGAATGTATAGCTGTCAGTGGAAGATTCAGGTTCATATGAGACGCTCACCTCTTATCCACATGCGTCCCCGGGTATCACATATGAAGCCCAGTTCAGGTGAAACCATACATTACACCGTAAATCGGAGATGGCCTTTCCCAGCTCTATCTTTATTTCTACTTAAATGAATCCTATTTTCCCAACACATGTGTACCACGAGTAATACCTCATGGATGAAGACAAAAGGGACTATCCCCAATCCACAGCCCAGTCCACACTGTAGTCCCATGCCTACTAAAGCCAGTAACCATGCGATTAGCAATATCATAATCAAATGCCAAATTCACTCATCCTTGACGTAACACAGTATACCATCCAACGGCAGTATATCGCAAGCATGCAACATAATAAACCGAGCCGGCTCATTTGCATCAGATCTATAAATCACACACACCAACCACATTGAAAGACACAACAGCCTTATCCCCAGATCTATTCTCACCTGATACGACAACTAAGACCTCCAAAATGTACCTCCTTCAACCTTTCCTCACCTTCTTCCTCCTAACCCTAACAACCTGCACCCCAATCCCAACCCCTCGCACCCGCGACGCAACAGCAGTAATAAACGACCTCAGCAAGATAACCACCGACCTCTCCGCCCTCACCAAAAGCATAGTAGCCTACAACGGCGGAATCCCCGCCGCACTAGATATCCAGGTGAAAGAGATGGTCGTAGAAAATGACCTCGACCAGGCGACGAGGGACACCATTGCTGCTCCGCCGTTCACAGTAAGTGAGAGCGCTGCCACGACGACAGCTTTGTTGGGATTGGAGCCGGATGTTAAGACTGCGCTTGTGACGCTGGTTCAGAAGGTATTTCCTTTCCTTTTTCTTATTTTTTATGCTATGATGGAGTGAAATGGGGGGGGAAGCAATTGTTGATATGAGTTCAGAAACCACTCGTCGATGAAGCGAGAATAGGTGCTATCGTGAGAATGAATCTAGTGAACCTTAGAAGCAGGACTGGTTCTCTCTCCACGGCACTGCAAAATAAGGCGACCGCAGTCGATAAGGATACGCTTGCTAGTAAGACGACGGAGTTGAATGCCGGGTTTGATACTGCCATTAGAGTGTATTCTTAGGTGTGAGTCTAGTGTTGAATATTGGCTGTGGGCTGTTGGCTTGTTTAGCCAATGCTTTGCTTCTTAGTTCCATTTACGTACATGAATCCATTCAATTGATCTGCATTTATATAACGATATCTCAAACAACCAGAAAGCACGAAACACATACGTATACAAACAGAAGACCTCAGATTTGAATGCCAAACCAACCAGCCACCCACCAAACAGAACACCATGCCACAAAAAACCCTTTATCACAACCTACAACCTGCAAACCGCCACCCAGTAACCTGAAGACAAATCAACCTGACTTGAAATTCACCGGCCCAGCCCACGCCCTCATTGCCTTCCCCTTAACCTGCAGCAGCAAAACAATCAAAACCGCCCCGACGACAATCCCCGCCATCGTGCCAAACTGTCTCCTCGCACCCTGTTTACTGGCCCACTCGACCATGAAATAGCTCACAATAAACCCACCCGTCGTGCGTCCAAAATTCACCCACGCAGCCACTTCCCCACTAGCCTCCGGGTAGCTATCAAGGACGTAGGCGTTTATGGCGACGGTGACGATCATCACGCCGAAGACGTAGAACCCCCATCCCAGGGCAGTGAGCATGTAGTGGTATGCACCTTCGAGGGCGAAGCCGAGGAGGATGATCCCAGCCAGGATGAAGGGCGTCGCGAACCAGATGGCGAGGAGGCGGGCTTCGGGCTCCAGACGGCCTTTGTTGCGGTTTGTGGCGAGCTTGGCGAGGTAGTCGTGCAGCCAGTGGCCGGTGAGTTCGCCCAGGATGGCGGCTACGACGGGGGTAAAGTAAAAGAAACCTTGTCTAGTTAGTGTATTTGTCGGTAAATTAAATTTAAAGGGGGGTGGTCTGTGCATGTGTGTATTTATGTATCTATGTAGGTAGGTAGGTAGGTAGGTAGGTAGGTATGTACGTACCGATTTGCTTAGGACCGAAGCCGTATAATGGGCCGACGAAGATGGAGAGCGTTGTGTTGACGCCTACCACCCAGGCGAAGGTAAGCATATAGTAAATGGTAGATAGGAGTACGACTGGCTTCATGATGACGGTGATTGGGCGCATGAGTGCGTCCTTCGGGGTGTTGACGATGTATCCGCTCTGACGTTGCTGGATGCCCAGCATGCGTTTCCATCGTGGGGCGTTGGGGATGAGGTCTGGCTGGTGGTTTTTGCGATCGTAGTACGTCTCTTCGACGAAGAGAATGATTGCGATGAGACAGAGGCCGGTTTCGATGCTGTATAGACCGAAGGCCCATTGCCAGACCTGGGTGTTGGTTATGAAGGCCGCGAACATCGGCCCCAGGTAGGGCGAGAGGATGATGGACCCGGACCAAATGTTGATTTTGCGGGCCTGTTCATGCAGGAAGAACATGTCTTTGATGAACATGAGGCCGCCCTGCTAGGGTTAGGGTTTGGACGCAGACAAAGAGGATGTTGGCCACGTACGCCTTGTGCAACCGTCGAGAAAAGTCCATTCAGAATGCGGGCAGCCTGGACTTGTCAGAATTCATTGCTGGAATATTTCAGGGGACATACCATGAATGACTCAAATGATTGTGCTGCGGTGCACCAGATTGCCATCGCAAGTGCCAACACCACAAAATAAAACAGCACCGGAAGACGACCGAAGTAGGCAGACAGAGCGACAACGATAGGGCCACCAACCCCCAGCATAAAGATATTTCCGGCCTGCGAATGGTTGACATGATCCTCTGTCATGTTCCATTGTCTAGCATCGGTTTTAGTTAGCATTCTTTGTGCATATGCCAATACCCAGGTTCGTACTTGGCCTGCTGAAGAAGCGTCACCGCACCCGTGGCACTGCCATAATCCGGCAGAAACGCAGTGGCCGAAATAACAAAAAGAATGAGATTTTTCTTGAACGGCGACCAGTTGAGTGGATCATGAGGAAAGTTCGTGGGCTGTGGGATCAGCACGGTCAGGCCATCATCTGTAGTTTTGAGGTTCTGATTCTGGGTGCGCGGCGTGTAAAGCATGTATCCCTCGCGCTCCCCAATCTCCTCGAGATCAACCACCGGCCGGTCCTTCTCGGTGTCTGGAGTTTCTGGGGAGTGTTTAGCATCCATTGCGCCGTCTCCGAGGTACGATTCTCACAACTATGGAGGCAGTGACCTATGAACTGGGAGGGGAAAGTAATGGAAACAAAATGTGGAAGGGCGATCTTGCAGATCAGTTATATATTGGTTCCTTAACGTACACTTGTAACACCGCGCCCAGGCCGAAAATGAGATGCAGGAAGAACTTGGCATAGTGATCCTCGGCCCACTGTCCAACTATATTGACTTTCGTGTCACAGGAAGGGAGTTCACCGCAAACGAACCCAGCACGATGAAAGACTTGAAACCTTGAGGGGGTCATCTGAACCAAACTAGAGTCGGAGGTTAGGGTTGAGCTGGACATTTAGCAGACTCCGGTGTCAGGTAAACAATGGGAATTCTAACGGTTGGCCCAGAAAGGCTGGAGGCTGAAGGCTGTCTGCAGGATCTCATCTTCGCTTCACGGCTCAGTCGCTAAGGTTTCCGATAACGGGCTTACATGCTCACATATAGGGTGTATTAGATGTAGGAGCGTGGCATAGCCAAGACAATCAAATGGTTCTACAACATATAAAATCCAGAGGCCATAAGCACAGTCCCATTCTAAATGGACAAATCATAATCGAGGACAAAACGTCCAGTTGGCAACCCAGTAACATAATGTAACTCAGTCCTCTGAATGTGACAAATACATGAGCCAATGAAAAATAGTACCACATTAGTTACTAGAAAATTCTGAAGCCAAGCGACGCACAGAGGCTCGTATCTACGATCCCCGCTGAGTGACATCCACGTCAGACTGAATATGGATCTCTGTTGTCTTCATTATCCCATGGCTCGCCTCCTCGTCCATGATAGGGTCACTGCTATCGCCATCTCCCTTGTCTCTCCGCGTGGAAGCCCACGCATCCCCGTATGTACCGAGGGCGTAATCCAAACTGCGACCACCAAACTGTCCATACGCATGGCCGCGCCCATACTGGTTCTCGGGGTGAGTTCCGACGTGAGTGGTGTTTCTTTTGGAAGTGCATCTGTGTATCAGAATGTGGAATAAGGGCGTCATGGTAGGGATGCATGCGGCGAGAATAATGAGGTATTGTTCGATGGCGGTCCATATTGCAAGATCAACCGTGTCCCATGGAAAATCGGCTCGTTCGGTCAGAGAAGCGAGGTTGATGGTCTTGACAATCGCAGCAGCCATGGCGCTACTTGATCAGACTGTGATGCGTCTACCATAGACCTAGATACTTACATGATTCCCAGCGAAAGCACACAGCTCAACCCAATCTTGATCTTACGGGCCATCTGCAGCCCAGCAATGGTCTTTAGTGGATAGATGGCGAGCACAAAATCCGAGAACGCGGAGGCCGCTATATGATCAGTAACATGGTAAATCAGGAAGGTCAATACATACATCCTTGGAAGAAGGCATAGTTCTTCTGCACTGTCGGCGGCCAACATGTCCCTTCAACAGTGTAATCCCACAGACTCCGTGTGGGCGTACACTGGCCGTACATAGTGTATATAGATACCATATTGATGATGGTGAGAAGAGCCATCCCCCCATAGATGGCGATTTGGTGGTGCTTGACCTTCCGCATGATGCGTAGCAGAAATAGCGCAACAGATACTTTACCCCAGTTCGTCGAAAATACATGGAACGCCTGCGACATCCAGTTAAACTTGGCTGACAGAATGCGCTGTGTATCAGTGAGGTCGACGATATGTCGTCCGGTGCCATAATGCACGCTGATGGTCGTCAAAATGCTTTCGGCAGTCGCGCTGACCTACCACTGTCAGAGGCTATCCATTCAGAATCCTCGGCAGTCCTACCATGGCCAGCACAATAAACCCATCATCCCAGCCTAGAGGCCGAATGATACGGAGACGAATCCAGATCCGCGTTACGACTAGGATAGTGCACACGCCGAACAGTGGCCACGAAGCGACCTTGATCACCCATTGCCGATTCTCACCACTGCTTGCTGCTGCCGTATAGCCCATTGTAGCCTGCAACCAGAATTTGGAATTGCAATAGAGACTGACGCCGTGCAGCAGGGAGCTCCATGCCTAGCGCTGACAGGGGCTTCCCAATGCGTTGACTTATAAAATCCCAATTGCCGACTGTGTACTGTGCTACCTCTCTCGCATATTAAGTACTGGTACCTCAGCGAAATGAGTCTGAAAAGCCTTTGTTCCAAGTACTGGGTCTAGACCAGAATCTAACTTCTCTTGCCAAGCGACCACAGCAGAGGGTGGCTGAGTGAGATTGGTCCACGTCCCTTAGGGCATGGGGGGGGGTTTGGAATGGACTGTAGGATTGGACCTACAAAGTGGCGGTAAGAGGCATCTCTGTTCTAGTGTAGTTGTACAGGCAGGGAATATGTTTCCTTTCAGTTGTAGTATATAATGGGTGAATGTGCCACTCCAGGTTCCAGCACCGTTACACTAATTTCACGTCGCGTAGAAAGCGGCCTGTTTGAATAAAGAAATAAGAAACCTCGTGTACAGCAATCAATCCCACGCTGAGAATCTTTTGTCTTGGAATGACTCCCATCCGCGGTCGCATTCACATAGAGCGAAAGTCATAGCATGGCCTGGCAGATTTATCGACAGGGAGCTGATCTGACTCTCCATCTGCAGCTACCCGGCGGCATGTCACGGATTTTCATCCAGATTATTCTTTTACACAATGCAGGGTTTTGCCATTCTCTGGGTATCCGACACTTCGCCTTCAACAGGTAGAGGTGGCGTACTGCCAGAAGACAACATATTCGCTGTGATGGATACGTAGATATACATTGACAAGGCTGAATACACCTACCGACTTGAGGAGCATTTGCACCGAGCCTACAAAAGGCACAGGAGGTAGAATGGACTGGATAAAGAGTCGTATGTCTAGATATGTAACTACACGAGCCAACAGGATAACATTGTATAGAACTCAGCGCAATGAAGCTATGCACCCATCACAGCGCAAGAATCTTTTCAGCTGCATGTTCGGCGACCGTGACAATGTAAGCCGAAGGATTGGCCGTGATCATGCCTGGGAAGATACTAGCATCCACGACGAACAGGTTATCAGTTCCGTAGACCTTAGTATTGAGGTCAACAACAGCGCTGCCTCCGGTGCGGCCATCATCTGTACCAATTTTACAGGTTCCTAGAACAATTAGCGACGTTATTAGGAAGGTGCTTAGCAACTCACCCATCCAGTGATTGGCCCGACGCGTTCCAGCAGTGATTGGCATCTATCTATGTCAGTTACGTTGAATATCCTTCGAGAACCCAGCACTCACAGTCTTCACAAACTCAGCGATGGAAGTGTTCCGAGCTGGATAGGTCCAGGTAAGTCCCGTTCCGTTCAGGGCCCTCTGCAGGTTCTGAATTCCCTCGATCACGGCGTTGACATCACTCTCCTCGCGCAGGAATGGCAGCGTCGAGACCACCGTGTCCAGTCCTGCGGTGATGGTCATACGGCCGCGCGAGGTTGAGCCGCGGCCAAGGTATTGGCTGATGGTCAACGCGTCTAGATAACCGTTAATATCCTGCATGAATCTTTCACACAATACTCAACATACGTCCGTCAGGCGTATCATGGCCGCCTTCCACCCGAGCAGTCCACTGTATCTGTCGTTTGATGCCATCAGAGCCGGTGACTTCGTCGAAGATTCTACACGCGTTAGTGTCATGACGGCTTTGCTAGACGAGCAACTTACATTGGGCCAATGTTGGGCGCAGCCTGGGCGAAGATCCCGGTGCGATCATCTATGGCTGTTAGTGTCGGGCGATTCGTCCGGGCATGATTACATACTTAGATAGCTCGTCGCATCGCTCTCGATGGGGGTCTTATATGCCGCTTTGAAGTCATAGAATACAACATCAGGGTGGGTCACCACAACGTCAGTCTGTATGTACCATGTTAGCATGGTAGCAACCTCCCCCGATACACTTGGCACTCACATTGACATGATCAACCAAGTTCTCACCGACCGGAAGTTCGATCCACTCCGATTCGGCGATCATTGTCGCTCCGTCAGCAGCTGAGCTCTTCACGATGGACAGCTGATCCTTCGGACCGATGCCACCTATACATCATTAGCATTGGCCCCCGGCAATATCATCAACATAACATACTTCGCATAAGGACCTTGGGCGTTCCGAAAGTTCCCGCCGAAAGAATGACACGACCCGTATTAGCAGTCACGTTGACGGTACCTGCATAGCCACCATCGAGGGTTGCCTCGACCTCAACTCCGGTGATACGTCCGCCCTCACGGACCACTCTCTTAACGGTTGTGTTCGACCAGCGGACAAAATTATCCCTCTCGCTCGCCGACACCAAATACGTCCCCATGGGCCCTCCGCGCTCGCCTCCAGAAAACATGAACGGTGTGTGACCAAAGGTCTTGGTTTTCTGGGCCGGGACATCGTTGAGGGTAACAAAAGACCATCCCGCGGACTGCAAGCCTTGCTCCAGTATATTGGCTCCTTGCTGGAGGTAAAGCTTTCCATCGGTGGAAGGGGTCGTGGTTCCGGGGATTCGTGAGAACACGCGGTCCGCGGCAGCCTGCATGTCGGACGACTGCCATCCCTCGGGGAAGTTGTAATCCCAGTCCACAGGGTTTGGCTGGAGATTATCAGCAATAGATTCAAACAGGATATCTGAGTACGACTTACCCTCCACCACAACCCCGCGTTGACGGCGGTGCCTCCACCCAGCACACAACCCGCCATCTGGTCGGTATCACTACAGGCGATGCCGTTGGAATCGACCCAGATCTGGTTGCACAACCCAGGAACATCAAACCGCGTCAGGTTGGTATCATCCAACCAGGAGGGCTTCATGGTGCCACCCCAGCGTCCAGAAGAGGGAGGACCCTTCTCGATCAGGAGAACGCTGTGTCCAGCCTCACTAAGCCGATCGGCGATGGGGATACCTCCCGCACCTCCACCGACGACAATATAGTCGTATGTAGCACCGTCAGGTACAGGGATAGGGGTCGGCTCATTGCCTCCACCACCGCCAC